TATGGTCATTACTTAATCCAAAAGATAGACAAAAACGATACAACTGCCGTTACTGTTTAGAAAACGGCACAAGTGTCGTTCTGCCTCTGAACAAATGTATTAAGCGCCACGATCCTTCCGAGCCACGATAATCGTCACCTAATCATCATTTTCAGCCTTCCCAAGTTAAGGGGTCCAATTTGTGAGGTCGTTCAGCTGGTTTAGTAGAAATATATTGATGAAGTCAACAGAACGACACAAGTGTTGTTTAACGGCACTTGTGCCGTTCTGCCTGGAAACACTTGTGTTGTTCTGCAGGATGGAAGCGACGCTTACAAACTTCGGGAGATGTGCTCAATGCTTGAACTTCGAATTGAATTTTGCCCAAACATGTTGTGCCGTTACTATGAAAAAAAGACACTTGTACCGACAATGGGATGAGAACATTTATTGGATGACTGTTGTACTACGTGTAAATAAAATTCAATGATAAAGACACTTGTATCATACGTGATTAGGAAAAGATTTCAAATGGACGCAATAGCGCAGAAAATGACACTTTAATCGTTACTGGTTTGAGAACAGGCAAAAGAACCACAAAACTGTCGTTATGTTTGCAAAACGAAATTAGACCAGCACGACACTTCTGTCGTTATTGGACCATCAGAACAACACATGTCGTTCTGCCACTAAAATCGATTTTGAAGAGCCCGACCCGTCTGAACCACGATAATCGATAAACGGAACTCATTTCAGTCGCAGGTTGAACACGCCGCTTACAAAATTCTTGAGATATATGCCAATTACTTGTACTTTCAAACGAATCTAGATCAAGACTTGTGTTTTCACCGATTGATACCTTATATTCTATATCANAGCTATGATAATCGATAAACGGAACCCATTTAAGTTGTAGACTAAACACGCCCCTTACAAAATACTTGAGATATGCTCATTTATTGTACATTCAACCGAATTTAGACTAAGACTTGTGTTTTCACCGTTTCAGACCTTATATTCTATATCAATTCCATCGTTAGTTGTTACATAATCAACATTTTCATCCTTCTTAGGTTGAGGGATCCAATCCTTGATATCCTTACCTTGAAAAGTAGCAAAATATTGGAAAAATATACATAACGACACAAGTGTTGTTTAAGTTACAGGTGTCGTTCTGCCACTAAAATTGATTTTAAAGAGTCGCGATCCATCCGAACCACGATAATCGATAAACTAAACCCATTTAAGTTGCAAGCTCAACACACCGCTTACAAAATTCTTGAGATATGTCCATTACTTGTACTTTCTAACGAATCTAGACTAAGACTTGTGTTTTCACCGTTTCATACCTTATATTCTATATCAATTCCACCGCTAGTTGCAACACAATCAATATTTTCGTTCTTCTTAGGTTGGGGGGTCCAATCCTTGATGTCCTTGCCTTGAAAAGTAGCAAAATAT